CACCAAAAATAAACACATACATTTGTATAATTGTCAGTAGCAAATTGTCAAACACTTTTATTGCTGCACACTTTGATAGCACCCTTTTTGGATAAATCATTGCTATAGAAGGTGCACTTGAACCCCCTAATAATTGGTGTCAAGAAACTGAACTTTCTGGTGTTTAAGAGCAAGATAGGTTTAGGATTTATTTTAGTACATTTATCACAAGACCCCTGAAATAGATGTAAAATACCTAGTTCATCAAGTTCCTTCCACTGCCAAATTCTGAACAAAACAGACATGATCTTTTTTCAGTCAAAATTACCAGCAAAAGGGTTGGTCCTTTCAATGACAATTTTCCGACAAAAGACTTTGGTACAACATTTGCCATGTTATCTAATCTAACTTGTTTTCAACCAGACAAACACAATTTCTCATTGTCTTAATAAAAAATGTTTGTTGCAAAAATTATGCAAGTTTGTTTTGTGAAAAAAGACAAAAGTGACTTGGCATTCAGAAAGTTAAAACTCAAAGGGGCTAATCTAAAACAATGACATCACAGTCATTACTCTTACCGATACTATGTAACGAACTCCTTCCAGATTTTCTTCTTTTCTTTCTAGCCTTTGTACGACCTTCAAAGATTATTTCAATATCTGATGTCTGATTGTCACTGTCATCAGAGTCAATCAAAATCAACAGTTCATGTTTTTGCTGTTTTTTAACCTGGGTCTTTGGTATGATTTTACTAGAAGAAAGTTGACACCAAGGTTTATGCAATCTTTTTTGAAATTCTAAATCACTAACATTCACAGCTCCCACATTTGTCATACCATTCTGCAATTTGATGGCATCAGGTTTATCTCCACTTGCAATTTGGTTTGTATTTTTATGTTTGCATTGAACAGAACTACTTGGAGATAAACATATCACGTCGTGTGTTTCTTCATGTAATGATTCTGATTCAACATCATTCTTTTTGTTGCTTCTTTTTTGTATATCTGCAGACACATCAGAAGAACCAAGCTTGGTGTCAGGTTCAACTGGCTTGGCAGTTGGTAGATCTGGGCTAGTGCCAGGTGTTGCTGGACTTGTTCCAGGTGTTACTATATGAGTATTGGGTGTCTGTGGACTAGAACCAAGTTGATCTATAATGGTAGCAGGGAGACATGTGCTGAAACAAGATAAACTGGGATACACACTTGGAGTCAATTGGGGACTAACATTTGGTGTTGTTGGAACAGAATTTTCATTTTTTTTTAAGATCAAACCATCACGATCCTTGTTTGAGAGAGGAGACTCTTCGAAAACAAGTTTTCTAAGACTCTTCACCTGCTGTTTTCTTGCTGTCAAATTATTCTCAGAATCTGCATTAAGCACATCAATGTAGGAATCAACACAAGTATTCAAATTTGATGATCTCCTGCTTTCTCTATTGTGGCTGTGAAAACTTTCTTTAGAAGTTTTTGATTTTAGCTTACTCAATGATGATTCAACATCTAGCTTTCTAAATGGCAATGATTCAACATCTAGCTTTCTCAAAGGCAATGATTCAACATCTAGCTTACTCAATGATGATTCATCATCTAGCTTTCTCAAAGGCGATGATTCATCATTTAGCTTTCTCAAAGGCGATGATTCATCATTTAGCCTACTTAATGACGATGATCTAACACCTTGCTTTCTCAATGGCGATGATTCAACATCTAGCTTTCTCAAAGGCGATGATTCATCATTTAGCCTACTTAATGGCGATGATTCAACACCTTGCTTTCTCAATGGCGATGATTCAACATCTAGCTTTCTCAAAGGCGATGATTCATCATTTAGCCTACTTAATGGCGATGATTCAACACCTTGCTTTCTCAATGGCGATGATTCAACATCTAGCTTTCTCAAAGGCGATGATTCATCATTTAGCCTACTTAATGGCGATGATTCAACACCTTGCTTTCTCAATGGCGATGATTCAACATCCAGCTTTCTTAATGGCGATGATTCAACACCTTGCTTTCTCAAAGGCGATGATTCAATACCTTGCTTTCTCAAAGGCGATGATTCAATATCTAGCTTTCTCAATGGCGATAATTCAACACTTTTCTTTCTTAGTGACGATGATTCAACACCTTTCTCTCTCAAAGGCGATGATTCAACACCAGTGTCTGGCTTTTTTGTCTGCAACTTTTTCACATTTGGTAAAGCTTGTGTATGTTCTTTGCACAACCGTGAGGGAGATGAGCACAACCCACTCTCCAGGTGCTGATGCTTGACATTTTTGCGAGGAGATGTATGCGATGAATCACAAATTTTACCAGGTGAACTTGTACCAGGTAGCAGGCCAAAATAATCACCTAATGTCTTCATGCGTTTCTTAGTTGATACTACTGACTTCAATGGCGATCTTTTTTGTGGAACGAATATCTTAAAACCTCCAAGTAATTTTTTGGGAGTTTGGTGAATATTATCAGCATGCTTAAGATCATGTTTAGCTGGAGTTGTTTTCAAAGAACGTAATTTCCGCTTTGATGTTAAAGAAAGTGTTGATGAAAAATGATCCACAGGAGTATGTAAGTGTAGTTGTATTTGTGCTTCTTTATGCAAAATTCCCTGTAATTTATTAGCTGAATTAGGTGTGCTGGTTAGTTGTGGATTGGTGTTATTGAAGATCTTTGCTCTGTTGAATTCTGATGAAGGCATACCTTGTGACGACTGCAGGGAAACATTTTTTTGTACATTAGCAGCATGTGCGCAAGAAGATGTATTTGTAGAAGAAGTAGGTTTGTCTTTTTTAGACAAGGGCTCTGTAGCTTTACTTGTTAATGCAGATGCACTAGGTATGTCATTCTTATTGGCTTTACATAATGAAGAAGTAACTTCATTTCGCAACAGAGAAGACCGACTCTTTTGTTGTGGTGTGGCATCATATGTACTTGCAGAAGAACCAAACTTGTTCTTTTCATCAAATTTAGTTGGTAGTTCAGACATATTTGCTGAAAACATGGTGTTGCATGTTGATGCTCCATCCTCATGTGATGTCATGTCTGAACAAGAAGCTTTATTAGCAACTGAACAGTTACCATTTCTATCAGATTTTTCAGAGTTCCAAAGACTTTCAGAGGAAGAGGCAATTCTATTAAGTTGTTTATAGTAGTCTGAAGATTGCAATCGTCTTTTCTTAGCGGACACAGACAGCCGTCGTGTTTGCCATATTTTCCATGTCAGTGGTGAAGGATTATCAGGCACTCTGTCTAAGACAACCAATGGTGAAATAGACATTGCCCGCAATTGTTGTTGCGGTGTTTGAGGTGACGATGAAGACATGCCTTTGTGAGGAGTAACAACATTATTCGATTTGTCTTCATTCTGGTTATCTGGGAAAAGAAAATAACATATAAAATGTTAATCCATTGAAACTGGAGAAGACTTATGTGATGTAACGTCTTTTGTAATAACATATGGACTGGCAATATATAGGCTCATTATGAATAATACAGCATTACCTTTTCCAACAACAGACTCACAGTCACAACATATCCAGTCATCTTCAGGGGTTTTCAAGTTTGAGCACCTCAAGTGACTACCAACAGATCCACACATATCACACAAAATAATATCCCATATACTGAAATAATGAAACAACCATACAGTTAATTCTGACATGCTCCACCACCTTTCAATCTATTCAACACAAGCAATGAGGTGATATGTATGCAAAAACAATAACAGTCCAGTTTATTTATTTTACACTTTACCAGAATTCTTCCTAGATAACATTTTTTTTTTTTTAAACTTGAATTAGCCCATTTATTTTTTGATATATCAGTAAACCATAAAACTCATGCATCTACTTTGTCATGTTACCTGATTTTAAATTAAAACCAATGGTATCAATAAAGTTCTTATCAAAATTATGCATATTAAAAGTCCAGCGCATGCTATTAACTGGAAACCTTATTTGTTCATCAACGATAGCTGCTGTCTACATCATGACAACTATACCTGGTTGTTCATCATGTGAAAATATAGTTCAAGTATTTGTGTGTTTTTAACCCTTAGAAAACTAAAGTTTGAATCTCAAGAAAATACAACATGATCCTGATACAACATTGAAATAAAATCGCCCTGTTCATCAATGAGAAATGGTTTCACAATTTACCACGTTTGTGGACCAAAATGGCTGCAAGTCATATTTGATTAAATGGTAAAGAAAATCAATTTGCAAATATTGTATTAAATATCAATGTTCAAACCATGTCTAAGAAATGGCTCCAGATGAACAGATACACAAATGAACAGACAGAAACCATATTAATAGTCTCTGATTTTAGACTTTGAGACTGATAACCATGGTTGATATAAAAGTCATGTTAAGAACTTGCTTTTCTTACTGCTCAAATAATGTTAAAATCTAGTTTTCAAGTAAAAATGAAAGTGGTGTTCATGCATATATGATAATACATTAAACTTCTTTGACTTTTTGGCAAATATTTGTATTCATATATTCCTGACAACAATTCTTTAACAATGTTTGGAGATCACCCTCAAATAAAGCTAAAAATCAAGAGCTAAGGGGTCTATTCCACCACAATGCTTACCTAGCCTCTTCCTTAATATGCCTGCCTTGTGGGCACAAGCAATCGGCCACATCACACTGGTTATGTCTTGCCAATAAGTCTTGAAATGCATTTTCTTCTAATTCCCAAGAGGCATCCCTGGTGAAAAAATAGTTATAGGGAAAAAATGTGTTAACTCCATATTGGATTTTGCTAGAGTTGTGGGATGAAAAATTGAATTCTAGAGGGCGTTGGGGGAGGGGGCTTGTATCATCTCAATAAAGCCCCATGTTAAAATCAGCTTTTTCCCTCTCCTGTATTCAAGCAACATGTTTTTTTTTTAAATTATTATGGTTATATTGTTAGACTTGTCGCTAATTTTACTGGAAAGATAGTTTTCATTTTTTTTTTCTAGATTTTACTGCTTTTGCCTGTAATTATAGGAACTGTAGTGACAGGTACATACGTATCCGATTTCTACTCATCTATAGGAACTGTAGTGACAGGTACATATGTATCCGATTTCTACTCATCTATAGGAACTGTAGTGACAGGTACATATGTATCTGATTTCTACTCATTCATTCATACATTCTTATTTATGTTTGATTATTTTCTGTGTCATAGTGGAAAAAAAACATGCATCTATCTTGTCTACTAAAAAGTTTTGGTTGAATTTAACAACAACACCAACAACGCTGACAGACATCCCCTTCAAACCCTTCACTTTAGTTTTAGATGTATTGTACTTTATTACTAACATTTTATTGCTGTTCAACCAATGGAAATTATTTCTAAGGATGCAATAAATTCATTATTATTATATTAATATATGACGGCAAGGAGAAAATGGCATATAATTACCATGGCTACACATTAACAGATTTTCTGAAGTGTGACATCTAAAACTATCAAGACATTGTATTGAACTTAACTGCATTTTTTTCTGAAATTCACAAACAAGATCAGCAAAATTTCACTCCTGGTGCATATTATTCCCACAATTTTATCAGGTGTGATAAACCATCACAGCACAAATCAGAAGATTACAAATTTTTATAACTTATTGGATTGGGGAATTGTGTATTCTGAAATTGCATTCATCTTTTGCTTTTTGGGCCTAAGAATCAACTTTAATGAGAACAAGTCATTGTCAATGACACGTCCCCGTTCCGTTCATATTTGAGTGACATATACATTCAAAGCAGATCATGACCGAAATGCACCTGCATATGTACAACACATTGTGCTAAATCTGAACAAAATCCATCCATGCATGACTGAGATCCGGTTCTGGAATTGTGAAAATACGTGATTTTGATGCATTTTCAGTCTTAAAATG